GACAGGACCCGCGATCAGTGCAATGGCAGCAGGTCCCCTCAGTGGCCAAAGCCAGGTGCTTCCCAGAGGTCCCTCCAAGCTGTAAATTACAATTCTGTTCATGAAGTGAAAACATCTTTTCAACAACTTCTTAGATAAAAACAAATATTTAAGAAAACCCCATTTTTTAGTCCTCATTCTTGCTTTCTCTAGAATAAAAGAATAAACTCAGAGTGACCCAAATCTACAGTCACCTGCCTTTGCCCTGTTTCAGTGCCTATCCATTCCTTACCTCCACCACTCCTGACCCCCCTCATCATCTCTCACCAAGACTCAGGGAACAGCCTCTGAACTCCTCTGGGGCCTTCTGGAGCAGCCTCCTCAGAAACCTCAATGTACCCTTCCCCCAGCCCCTGGAAGGAAGTCTAAGCCTCCATCAAGGTGCTTAAGGCTCCGCCTACCAGCCCCATTCTCCCCTTCACCTGCTCAGTCATGCCCTAACATGCTGTCTCCTCTTAAGTGCTCTCAGCCCTCCCTGGGCCATTCCTCCTGATGCTCTCACAGCAGGGAGGCCTTTTCCACTATCCTAGTCCTCCTGGGGTCAAGGTTCAGCCCAAGGGCACACCACAAGCCAAGCCCCCCAACCTGGGGCCATGGCAGCTCGCTGGTTTCCCTCTGCCCTGCATTTTAGAATGTGGTATAAGTCCTTCTCCCACTTACTGCACAGCTTTCCATACATAGGGATAACCCTATGTACCATGAACTTCGCTCCAGAAGGGTTCAATGTTTGGTGTATAAATCAGTCAAAAATCCACATGTGTATTATCCAAGGCAAAATCCCACCTAGTTTTCTTCTGAACCCTCTTTGCAATGTATTCTGGTTGTTTTCTTAAATCGACCTATCGTCACCAGGTATAAGTCAGTGAGAGACAATGTAAAGAGAGCTCACATTTCCTGAGCCTTCACAGGGAGAGGGGAAGCAGGTGTTACTGGCTTCATTTAACAGATCTGGAAAAGAGATCAAAAGGACTTTCCCTGACACATTTAGTAAGCAGTAGAGCACAGAGACTCAAGAACAAGACCAACTTCAAAATAAAAGGCAAAACTCTTGTCCTCAAGAATCAATTTAATTGGAATGATGAGACAAATACAAGAAAAGGCAAAAAAAAAAAAAAAGATATTCTTATCTAGAGAATTTCTCAACCTCGGTGCTACTGACATTTGGGCCAGAGGATTCTTTGCTGTGGATGCATGTTCTACACGCTGGAGGGTATTCAGCAGCAGTCCTGTGCTTACTCACTAGATACCAGTAGCTCTCCACCCCACTCAGTTGTGAGAACCAAAAATGTCTCCAGACATCAGCCTGTTTGAGAAGCCCCAATCTAGAGCAACTCTAAAGTGTACTTAACAACCACTGCAATCATAGTCTCTCTATTAGAACCCCTCCCAGCCTGTTCTGAGAGACAGGTCTGCAGGGCCCCTCCAGGAGCTGTGCAGGGCCTCTCCACACCTAGTCCTGACTTCATTTCTGCACCATCCTCCCCGCATTTCCCCTTCAAGCTGACTTATTTATTTTCACCCAGATGCAGAAGATGTCTCAATAGGATGTCTCAAAATCCTTTCAGGGATGAGACAGGGTAGGGGGGTAAATAATGCAATTACAGGACAGGAGAGAAAACATCCCACAAAGCAATGTGATTAACCGACAAATTATCCCATTACTGAAAATTTGCCAAACACCTTTTATAACACTGCCATCAAAGTGTGAGCCAGAGGCCAAAGGAGGATGAGAGTTCTTCCAGTCCTGGTCCTTCTGAAGAGCTGAGCATGAACACTGCCCAGGAGTGAGAGTTCCAGAAAAACTCAGGAACAAAGGCCGAGGGATGGGAAGAACCCATCTCAATGAAACTTCCTAAACACACAAACACGGACTACATTTTCCTACAACCAAAATCCCAATCGCTTTCACTTTCTGACCAATGTATGGTCATAACCTAACTAAGAAATGAACCTTTGGCCAAGCCTATTATAAAATAAAATGAAATATAAAGAATACTATATCTAAGAACAGGGAGTAAAACATGTGAGCATGAACAATGCCCGGCTCCTAACTTCTATGTAAGTTATAAATATTACTGGCTATTCTATATCTTAAGGCACTCTTTGGGTACAGGATGAAATGATAGGGGTGAGTTTTTATATTTACTCAATTTTACCAAGGTCCAGGAGTGAAATCACAATACCAAGAATTTACAGCCAATAAACAATGGCATCTTGAACCCAGTCTGACTCCATTTTCAAGGCTCATTTCACTGGGATATGACAACTTCAAAATTTATTAACTTACCACAGAGTAGAGATTCTCATCTGGGGATGATTCTGCTCAGCAGGGGACAATGGCAATGTCTGGAGACATTTTTGACTGTCACAACTGGGAGTGTAGGGGAGATGTGTGCCAGTGACATGTGGTAGAGGCCATGGATGCTAAAATCCTACAATAGAATAATTCTATGGCCCGAAATGTCAACTGTACTGAGGCTGAGGAACCTTATCCTAGAAGAAAGGTCTTACCACTGTTATCAGCCAGGAAAATGAAGGCTGAGAAGTATGCCTATATCCCAACATATACTTATTTTGCCTTAAACGGCCCTGTTCTAGCTGCCTTTTCCACTTGTCTGAATGGATTCTACCACCACAGAGGAATTGCTGAGTTTTCTTGCTCCATCCCTCTTTGGACTCTCAGACATCAGAAAAAGTATGTTCAAGCCATGTAACAAGTCAGGAGACATAAAATGCAGAGTAAGGAAGCCAGAAAGTGAAATGATGCCCTCTCCAAAGCACTAGGGTCCTTTTTGTTTGTTAATCCAAAGGAAGCACCACCCACCACCACTCTGGCTTCTGGCCAAGCAGCTCCCGCCCCCACCCGCTCTCCCTAGTCACCAGTTTTTAAAGGACTGATCAGTAAGACTGGTCAGTAATTCAGACAATGATTTTTTCCTGCAGGATGGTGGTAATTTACCATGACAGTTCTTCTGGACACTTGATACAACAAAGGTTGATTTCAGGAGATTTTAAAAGCAAGGAAATTTAGCAAAGAACAAGTTTAAAATAAGTTCAATTCCATCACTCCAGAGTGCCAATTTTTTTTATTATGTCTTAGGTTTCTAAAGTATTTTATAATCTGGGGTGCACTTTTGTGTCTTCCTTCCCAACCAAACATTATAATTGTACTGTGAATAAGGCAGAGCAATATCACAATGTTCCATCCTAAGACTATGGAGAGGCCACGCCCACTCTGCCAGGGTGGGATGCTTGGCTGTTGGCCTGATTGTAGACTCTCACTTGTTTGTACCTAGATAATCACTTAAGCACCTTGACTTATTCTTTTACACAGCACAGAACTTGTGTCCTGCAAAGGAGCTTATCAGAAAGTTAGAAATTATATGGCAGAAAGTCAGAGAGACTGGAGAAGGGTAGACTGACTATACACACAAACTGATCTAGGCAAAATTTTTATTTTAAATAAAAAATTCCTTCAGATCTTCACTTACACCACAAACTAGTTCATAATGAAATATTTCCTTTCCTAATTTACAAGCCCCTTAATTTATAATTACTGAACATTTCCCCAGGTCTCCGGGGAAAGATCTGCACACTACACATCAGAACATCAACTTGGAAATCAACTTAGGAGAAATGGAACTCTTAGTTCACAGCTTTTGGTTTCATGCACATAAACCTAGTGTGTCTTCATAAATTACAGAAACCTCATCTTTCTTACCTGTTCCAGCCAATATTTATCATGCATCCTTTATGTGGGAGATACTGTCGAGTGGGGCAGGGATAAGGAGGGGAATGAGGCAGTCTCTGCCCTGGGGGCATATGAAAAAAAGGACACAGGGACAGAGCACATCTAGTGGACTGACTCAGGAGGAACGATAGAAGGAAAAGGTGACCCACCCGGGCCCTGGAAAATGACAAAGATATCACACAAGGAGAGAAAGGCAGAGCACTTCTGCCTGAAAGAACATACATGTTCAGGTCAGTTGCAGGCGCAGAGAGCAACCCGCAGATCAGGTACAAAACGGAAAAGCTACATGTGCAAAAAAGGCAGAAGCATCTCCTCTACTTGCTCCAAAAGAAAACTGATAACTCATTCTAGCTGCATGCAAACAGAAATGAGGAACCAGGGGGTGACCCTTTGCCTAGCAGTAGTCAGAGGCAGGCTGGGATCGGGGCTACAGGCCTTATTGCTGGAGGAGTGCTCCCTGGGCTTCCTGGAGACAGGGGTGGGGAGGAGGACCAACTCCTGCAGTTGTGCCCACAGGGTAGAACTATGACAAAGCTGCTGGTTACACACCGCCTGTTCTCAGCTAGAGGCCTGGAAGAGTCAGTTTCCCCTCTCCTAGAACACACCTGTGTCGGATGGGCTGCCCAACCCAAGTCACCATGATGCCCCAGCTCAGAATAAAACGGGGTTCCTTCTGCTGGGGGACCTCAGCGCTCAGCCATAGCCCCACAACCCCCAATTGGGGGCACAGTGGCCAGACCCAGGCCTCCGCCGGAGCAGGAACAGCTCCTCCAGCAGGGCAGAGGCGTGCAGGTTTCAGGTCTTCATCCTGCCAATCAAAAGCTACAAGAGGGGCTGCGCCCAGGTTTCGCACACATCGAACCGTCTGAGCACATCCTGGCTGGTGCAGAACTGGCTGGCGCCCAAGGGCCGCTCCCCAAAGCCAGGCCGCGGCGCCTCCACGGACCGAGGGTGGGTGGCCGAGGGCTCGGCGCAAGCGCTGGGGGCGGAGGCGGACTTGGCCGCAGCCGGGCGGGCGGGAGCACGTGCCGGGGCTCGCCGGTCTCCCGCTCCGAGGACAAAGTCCGTTACCTCCCGCTCCGCGGCTCTGGCACCGGGCACCCGGGCGGCGGGAGCGAGGCGGGCACGGCCCCGCACGCCGCGCCGACCCGGCTCCGGACCCCCGATCGGACGCCAGGCGTGGCCTCGGGCGACCTCCGTGTTCACTCACCATTGTGGTTGACCCAGGTCGGCTTCAGGAGCTTCATTGTTCGGCCGCCGCCGCCGGGCTGAGGCGAGAGCCGCGTCCTTCAGCGCGCGCGGGCCATGGGGCCGCCGCCGCCGCCGCTTTCTCCCGCGCCGCCCGCCCTCCAGCCGCCGCCCGCCCCGCGCCCTCAGTGCCGCCACGCCATCGCCGGCTCGCGCCCCAGGCCGCCGCCACAGCCGCCCCCCGCGCTCGGCCGCCACCGCTGCCGCCACAGCCGCATCCCCTGCGCCGCTCCTCCTCCGGCAGCTCCCGGGCAACGCCGGAAGTCACGGCGCGCACCTGCCAAATCGCCCCGGCGGGAAACCGCTCCCTGCGCGGACGGGGCCCGCCCTGGCTGCCACCTCTGCGGGTAGGGGCAGCGTTAGGGAGGCTCCGCTTTGGGTCCAGCGTTGGGTGAAGGGGAGAGTCTGCTGGGACCGCGGCGGACAAGCGGGGCCCCGAGTGGCAGCCCAGGCCGGTGGTGCCACACACCGGGTCGGAGGAGCGTGGACCGCCTTCCCAGCTCTACATCGCTGGTTACCGGTCCGACTAATTAGCTAGCTTCCGTCATTCATCAACACGCGCTTATTGGGCATCTCGGGAGCGCCAAGCCACGTGCCGGCGCCCAGGTGCGGCCACCAGCAGACGGGCGGCCGCGGCGCCGAGTTGGAACGAATGCAGGGGGATGAGCCAGCCTCATGGGGGGGCACGGGGAAAGCGGAGGCGGCGCGTTTACTGGAAGATCGGGGACCGTTTTCACTGATGTGGATACTGTGGAGTAAAGGGACATCCTCTTGGCCATTCCGGCTGCACTGCGGAGTCTTGGCGCTCCCAAGGGTGCAGGCCAACTAAGGGGGGGGGGCGGGAAGGGGGAAGAATGACGTGTGAGATCGCGGCGCCCGGCGGAGGCGGAAGAAAGGACCCACACCGGCGCCTGGGGCGGGGCCCTCTGTTGGGGGCGTGCCCGCGCGACGTCGCTACGTCGGGGCGGGGCAAGGCGTGTTCCGGTCCTCCTCCACGGCTCGCACCGCAGGCCGGAACGCGATCGCGTGAACCGACGGGACTGCCGGACCGTAGCGCGAGGCACCGTGGGCCGGACCGCCGCGTGCGCGCCTGGAAGCAGCCGGTGGCTTGACTTGGGAGCCATGGCCACCGCGGTTTTGGGAGCTGCTGCGCGTGCTCTGCGGCCGCCGTACTGGTGAGTGAGGACGGTCAGACCGTTCGCGGGGTGTCCGGGGCGTGCACGGGGGCTGGCCAGGGCCTCGCCTGGGCTTCCTCCCTGACCGCCCTTGTCCACGGCCATCTCAGTTATAAACGGGCTGACCCGCCTCTCCCTGTGGGTGAACATGCGAAGACCCTAGCGAGCGGGGACCCTGCCCAACTGCTCTCTGTTGTGAACGGGGGATTTTGAAGAAAAAAAAAATCTCGCACGTTGACCTTGCTGTCACATCTAGTAGTTGCAAGTGCCTTAGATTTCGAGGGCATTATAATTTTTTTTTTTTCCTGTTTAGTGGGGAGAATCAGGTATTTATACACACATCTCTTCCAGGCGTCTGGGAGTTTGGCAGACACAGGTTAGAGACACACACCAGCGAGCTTCATTGTTGTCTTTCTGGGGACTCATTCCCATGAGGTAAGCTGAGATGTGGGCCTGACCTCTTTGGGGGTGTCAGCGGGAGATAGATGTGCACAAATAACGACTGCTCTCTGGTATGCAAAATGAACAGCTTACACAAATTCTGTTAAATTTGGCTAGCTGTTTCTCTGTCTGTATGGAACACTGGTGTGTCTGTAATCAGAAAACAAAAATTAAATGTAAAAGTAGTTTACTTTGAATGGGTTCTTGTGTTTTTTACAGGGCAATGCATAAACGTCTGTTCTTCATAGGCCTTCCATTTCTGACTCCCTGGAGGAGGGGGGGGGAAGGTGTGAGGACTAGTTTTTATTTCTGGAACTCTGGATGCTTTCTAGGGACTTGATTCACAAAATTTGGTTTTGATGCTAGAGGATTTGATTATTCTTAATACTAAATTACCACCGTAGGAGATGTGTTCCTGAGAGTAAATAAGACTTTTGTTAATGCTCTAGGATGGGAATTTGTTAAGAAACCCCCCAAAAGTAGGGACAGGCCAGTTACTTTTATTATGCTTTCTCTTAGTCTTACTGAATTTTTTTTTCATTGTTTTTATTAAGGTGTTACATGTGTCCATACCTCCCCATTTGAAATAATTTTTATAAATCACAAATCCATTTGCGATGTAATTGACTTCTAATTCATCCATTTGGTATTTTCACTTTCCAGTGCAATCCCAAGGCACACCTGAACCCTGGCACTAAAGACGAGCCCTTCTCTTTAATTTATACCCGGATGCCCCATGAGGCTTTCCCACCCCTTCCTGGGTTGAGAGTGCCCACGCAGTTCTCACAAGGACCCTGGGCTGCCACTCTCAGCTCAGGAGGTTAGGACCGTGCAGTTCATTCCCCAGTGGAGAGTTCAGTACAAGTTTGGGGCATTTACCTGGTGCCATGCCTCTCAGGATGTCTGTGAAACTGAAGAGGAAACACTTTCATGTTTGCTTTATCCATTAGAGCAGAACCTCTGAGAAAGAAGAAGAAGATCGATCCTAAAAAAGACCAAGCTGTAAAGGACCGTTTGAAAAAGAGGATCCGAAAACTAGAGAAGGCTAGCCAGGAGCTAATTCCCATTGAGGATTTTATTATCCCCGTGAAGTTCATGGATAAAGGGAGGTAAGAGTCCTGGGGTTGAGGGCAAAGGAGTCCCCTCACCTAAGGGTAGTTGTACCTGCAGTTGATGCAGGTAATGGGAAGGGGGTCAGTAGGCTTGGGCTGACGGGGCCCGGGGCTGAGTCCTCTTCTTGATCATGTCTCCTGGGAGTTGAAAAACATTTCTGGGTGGTGTGCTCTCGAGTGGCTGCATGCGGGAAAGAAACTCAAGAGTAATTGTTGGATAAGCCAGGCCAGATGCTAGAGTTAGTTCTATCAGCACTGCTCAAGAGTTCATGTTGTTGCTCTTTTGCAAGTTGTTGTGACAACCTGGGCCTTGCCCATCCTGATGGTAGAAAACCCTTAGCCTCTCGCTTTGTGATGCAAAATGCTTGTGATTGCCATGTGTCATGTGCAGGGTTGCTGTCTTACAAAAGCCTGTACTATTGATAAAGTTGCACCTTGCCATACAGGTGGGACTGGCAGGTGTCCTTTGGTACTCCGGGGCTGATAAGAGGCTCTTGATTCCCTGAGATTTTGGTGTTCGTTTTCATTATACAATTTCTCCAAAGCCACCTCTCACCAAAGGTAGTCTCTGCCTGGGAAAGAGGAAGTGCTACTGTAATCTCCTCAGGGATCACTGTCTCCTATTTCCACATAAAGCAAACGGGCCTGGTTCCTAGTGTCAATTGCAGCTGCCACCACATTCAACATTACATTCCTTAATGTGTCCCTTTCTTTTCTGAGTTCCATCCGTGTCTGGCAGGGAGGGTGCCTGGGCCATATGCAGTCACCCAGACCCCTTGGTCAGTGAGGTCAGTGCTTCCCAGCCTCACACCTTGGGATTTGTGTTCCCAGGCAGCGGCCTCAGGTAGAACTCTCCTTTGAGGAGGCAGAACGGAGAGCTTTGCTCATGAAGAAGTGGTCCCTGTACAAGCAGCGAGAGCATGAGATGGAGAGGGAAGCCATCAAGTCCATGCTCCAGGCCCAGCAGGAAGCTCTGAAGGAGCTACAGCTCACATCCCAGGAACTCTATGCGGAGGCCATCAAGCGGGACTACAGTCTGTTTCCCTTTGAGAGAGAGGGGCCAGATTACACACCACCCATCTCCAACTACCAGCCCCCTGAAGGCCGGCACCATGACGTCACCAAGGTGTACACACAGGTGGAGTTCAAGAGGTAGAGCTGCTGGCCGCTGTCTGAACACGCTGCCCTTGGAAGCCGCAATGACCAGAGCTCAAGCCTCCTTGTCACAGAGTCAGGCGTGCTGAGAATAAATGTAAGTGTCACCACGTGTCTCCTTGTCTTATGTAAGAGTCAAAATTAACTCACCTGAGGATGGACAGAGGCGAGATAGGCTGCCCTTCCTTTACAAAAATTTTATTTTCACTTTATTTTGATGGTTTACATGATTACAAATGTTCCCCATCACCTCCCGTGCCGGGTACGGGGAAAGGAGGATGGAGACCATTCCCCCCAGCAGGAGGCAAGAAACAAAGGTGAAGGGTGTTCAGGCTGTATGCTCCGTGTTGTCTGCACGGGTGGGACAGACAGACACATGAACTTCCTCACGTCATCAGCAGGACCAGCTTAGCATTTTAAGCTGGGAGAGTGGAGCAAGCCAGGGACATACTAATTAACGCAATTGCTGTGCTCCCTCTGGAGGGTGGGACAAGTGGGGCTGAGCACTCTTACGCCGGGATGGTGACTGTGTTAGTGTGCTGGGGCTGCCAGAACTAAATGCCACTAATTGGTTGTGCAGTGTAAATGCCATTTAGACTGCATGGCTGAAACACATTTCTCACAGTTCTGGAAGTTACCAGCAGGTTCGTTTTTTCTCTCCTTGGCCTGTAGATGGCCACCTATAGGCTATGTCCTCACAATGTCCTGTTGGATTATGACCTTATTTCAGCAGTCGGGAGTACAACATCCGATGTGAAATTTAACAATCTCAACAACTAAACTGAATTTATATTTAGCTTCTTTTTGGAATCTAATGTTTAAAATGGCTTTTGGTATTTTCTAAAAATGTTGAGGGAAGCAAACCAAAATTCCATTCGTCCTGGGGTTGGGTTTTTTCAGCCATGAGTCCATGAACCCTTTTTGTGCAAGGTGGAATATTCTGTAGCTGTGTGCATTTCTGAAAAACTGGAATCTCACCTCCTGGGCCTAGAAGGTACAGTTTGCTGGTCCAGAGGTTATGCCCCACCTGTGTCTGCAGAGAAACTGAGCTAGTGGGCCACAGCCAAGTGTGAGCAAAGGGTGGCAATGCATGGTCATCACCAAACCAGGTGGCACAAAATGACCCCACAAGGTGTTCATGACTGCACAACATTTAGTTACCTCTACGTGTCCACACAGGTCAGGGCCACTACTTAAAAGTTTACCTGAGAATTCTAGACCTTCGGAGGGCCATCTCCTGTGCTAATGTCCCTGGTAGGGGAGCATGAGACAGCCCAGCGTGGCTGTTCACAGCAGTACGCAGTGGTGCTTGGCTTCCTGGAAGCTGCGCAGTGGACAGAACTGTCCCCCGGAGCATGGCAGTGGTGGGGCACCCTGAAGGCAGGTGAGGGTGGTCAAGCAGCACTGGAGACGGTCGAGCTCCCAGTACCTCCTGGAATATTTGGGCCAATCAGAGTCCTTGAAGAAGACTGCAGGAAGCCGGGCAGGGGTGCTTGTCACTCGTCTTTCTCCAGAGGGAGATGCCAGTCTGCAGGGGGGCTCTGTCTCAGGGTCCACACGAGGGTGTGCTTTCTTGCAGCCTGGACTCTCCCACGCTCGCTCTCACAGAGGGATCGCTGTGCAAGGGAGACCCCGGTCACTTCACACCTCACATAGCCCAGGTCCCGCCCTCCTCCTCAGCAGGCTCCCAAACACAGATGGACAAACAGCGCATGGTACACACTTCTCTGAAACTACTTCCATCTAATCCACACAACTGAAAATCTGTAAAACTTAAGTTGTCCTCTGCACACATGGATTCCCAACTGTGGGTGGAAAATACAGCTGACCTTTGAAGGTCACAGGTTTGACAGTAAGTGGGAGGCACACAATTCAAATCTATTTTGCTTGAAGGGTCAACTGTGTAGATCACCATAATTTGAGGAAATTTTAAAATTTATCTTTTCCTTGGCCTCAGGGCTTAATGCCCTTGGTTGACCTAATCAGATTTACCTCCTAAGGCTGGTGGGGGTGGGGATGGGGGCTGAGCTAGAAGAAGATATGAGTCGGGAAGAGTGGTCAGACGGAAGAAGATAAGGAAAGAGATGCTTGTCCAGGGAGCCCTGGATGGGTGAGTAGGAGTTCAGATCACAGATGCCACTCTCAAAATAAACACAGGGCAGCACAACACAACTGTCACGGGCTCCTTGGCAGGTGCCAGTGGCTATGCTGACCTCTTTACACATATTACTTTCACCCTCTCAGTCTTCTTAAGCTCTATTGTCTCAAATAGATGTTTCTGTTCTTAAAAAAATATATCTTAATGATTTTACATAGAGAGGAATTGAGAGGGAAAGAGAGTTAGAAACGTCGATGAGAAAGAAACATCGACCAGCTGCCTCCTGCACACCCCCCACTGGGGATGTGCCCGAAACCAAGGCATATGCCCTTGACCGGAATCGAACCTGGGACCTTTCAGTCCGCAGGCCGACGCTCTATCCACTGAGCCAAACCGGTCCCGGCAATGTTTCTGTTCTTGTTTAAAAAGTGATCAGAAATGCGAAGTAGAATATGAAAGACTCCTAGATCTCCATCCCTGAGGTGAACAGCTTCCCCAACACAATTTTAGGCCTAAAACTTTAAAAAATATATTTTTATTGATTTCAGAGAGGAAGGAAGAGGGAGAGAGAGATAGAAACATCCACAATGAGAGAGAATCGTGGATCGGCTGCCTCCTGCAAGTCCCCCGCTGGGGATTGAGCCTACAACCCGGGCATGTGCCCTTGACTGGAATTGAACCCAGGACCTTTCAGTTCCCAGGGGGATGCTCTATCCACTGAGTCAAACCGGCTAGGGCAGCCTAAATTTTTGAGCCATTATATGTTTCCCTAAAGATGGAATCTTCTACTGGCTAGTGTATATACTTCCTGCTTTTTTCACTGAGGCCTCTTTCCACGCCAGGAGATGTTACTATCTATTGTTTTTAACTAGAATACGTTACCTATTCTTTTTAATGGTTATGTAATACTCCACGGTGTGGAAGAAGTTATTTGGTCGAATGTCTATCAGTGAAATTTAGGACGCTCCGTTTTTGCATTCTCACAGTGACAAAATGGACATTTTGAATTTTTAAACTATACTCTGTTACCCAATTACTCCCCTAGGATAAACTTCCAGAAGTGAAACGGGTCAAAAGGTATGCATGTGACATTTAGACCATCAGAGCACCTTACACTCCACCAACACTGCACAAGGACCCCTGTCTCTCCAAACCCCTATCAACACTTCTGACTTACCGCTAGGCAGAAACCACCTATTATCATTTTAACTTCTACACCAGGCCATTTGGTTTTCTTTTTTAAAGAATTCCTTCTGCCCTAACGGGTTTGGCTCAGTGGATAGAGTGTTGGCCTACAGACTGAAGGGTCCCAGGTTCGATTCTGGTCAAGGGCATGTGCCTCAGTTGGGCCACATCCCCAGTGGGGGTGTGCAGCAGGCAGCTGACAGATGTTTCTCTCTCATTGATGTTTCTAACTATCCCTCTCCCTTCCTCTCTAAAAAAAAAAATCAATAATAATAATAAAAAAAGAATTCATTCTTTGTGTCCTTTGTCTACTTTTCTATTCTGAAATCATCCCCATTTTTCTTACTGATATAAGCACTCAGACATATACAAAGGTTACTAACCTCTTGTCATATAGGCTGTAAGTTGTCTTTTTCATTTTTTGGACTTCACTTACTAGGTATGGAATCGTCACATTTTCTTTTATATGGGAGCTTTGTTTCCACATCAGTTTGTCTGATACATTTAATAACGTTAAAGCAGCCACCAGTCAGTCCCGAAAGCTCCCTTCACAGCTTCTCTCCATCTCCCCACCCACAACAGCTCCAGGGCACCATGTAGTCTAGACTGAAGGTGCTAAGAGGGCAGGTGTTCTGTTATTATTCCTGTATTGCAAGAGGACCCAACATGACAAGTATCTGCTGAAATGGATGGACAACCAGAACCACCTCCTTACTGGTCTCTGTGCCCCTCCATATGGACCCTCTTACTTTGGCAACCAGACTGATCTTTTAAAGGTATAAAACAAATCATGCTGCCCTAGCTGGTTTGGCTCAGGGGATAGAGCGTTGGACTGCGGACTGAAGGGTCTGGGGCTTGAATTTGGTCAAGGGCACATGCCCAGGTTGCAGGGTCCATCTGTTAGGGGCGTGCAGTAGGCAGCCGGTCAATGATTTTCTGTCATCACAAAAAACCAACCATGCTCAGATTACAATCTAAACCTCCTTTTAAAGGCCCAAAAGGTCCCTGATATCTCTGCAGCTCACCCTCCTCCTGAACCTTGTTCCTCATGGAAGTAACCCCCTGGGACTGGGTAAAGGCTGCTAAGACTGGTTCCTGGTCTCTCAGGAATCAGCGGTTTCACCTCCTTTGCAGATCAGCTGGCAACCCTAACACTGTCTTCCCAAACCACCCTCCACTCCCCTCTTTGTCTTTCAGAGTGGGAGAAACCCAGTTGACAAAGACTAATTTTTGGTATTTATCGAAAGCAAAAAAAGCACAAAAAGAGGAAGGCAGTGCTCTCCAAAATCCTGGGACCCGGGACGGGAGCCAGGGTGGCCGGTGCACTCAGACGCCCTGGCAGCGCGCCCCGGCGGCTCGGCGCCCCCCACCGCACCCACCGCACCCACCCCCGGCGTCCCGGGCGCACCTGGGCCTCGGCGCTCCGGCGCTCCTCCCACTCGCGGCAGCTGTCCAGGTCGCGGCGCCATTGCTCGCACGCCGGCCGCTCGCCGTGGACGTAGTAGTGGTGCAGGAAGTGCCCGGCGCTGCGGCACAGCTTCCACTCGGCGCGGTAGGCTTCGCAGGGGCGCGGCGGCTGCGGCGAGAGGGGCGCCTGAGCCGGGAGCCGCTGCGCCGCCCCAACCCGAGTGCTCCCGGGAGAGACCTCGCTGGAGCCGGTCCCACGGCCCGACCGGGTCCCCCAGGTCCCCGGCGCCCAGCACACTTACCTGCCAGCCGCCGCCGTCGTCGGCCATGCCCCGGCGAGCACCTAACTCCCGCCTTCCCCAGCCCGCCAGCCAACGGCCAAGGGAGACTGATAGGCCGGCCCCGCGCGAGACACCAAGGAGCTCGGAGATGTATTTAAATCCTCGCCGCCTCCGGGGGACACCCCGATAGGGGGCCGTTCGGTGGGGCAGCCAATAGCAGCCGGGCGGGCGCCGGCGGGAGGTGGGGCCCAGAGGGCTGGGGGCGTGCCGGCAGGGAAACGCCGCTCCCCGCGGAGCCGCGCGCCGGCACAGCTCTAAATTGGCTGTTTGTGAAATCCCGCGATGATTATTTTCACAAATCTCAAAGATCGGGCTTACTGCGGTAAGCACACACTGTGCAGCAACCTCCGCGAAGCTGCTGTAGTGACCACTCACAAAACAACGGGGGTTGGCTGGGCAGGACGTGTGCAGGGGCAGGGTATCTAAGGGGCAGGGCATCTAAGGTGCCGGGTAACCTCCCGAGGGAACTCAGGCTGGAAGTGGAGGCGAGAAGGGCATTCTGAGCACAGGGGCGGGGTGGTCCGAGGCATGGAGGCTGCGAGTGGCACTGGGTGCAAGTCCAGGGCCGCTAGCCTTATCTGATTAGGAGTGAAAGCTTTACCGAGACAGAAAGCCCTGCAGCAGCAATGCAATGGTTCCCCAGCCTATGCAGACCGGATCACGTGCAGGGAGCCCCTTACAAGGCGGCTGCTGGGCCCCTTCTATGATTGAGACTGGGTCAGATTAGAGGCCCTGCAGCTGGTTCAGAAAGTTGAATTTTATCAGGATCCCTGCCAGATTGGCTCACAGACCAAGCTTGGAGAAGACACTGTGTGACAATAAGGTTGCGGGCCAGGGTACAGCAGGAATAAGCAGGAGTTTTGCTCCAGGTGATCCCACTGTGCCACCAGGAGACCCATCATTGGGGGCCAATCCTGCCTCCAGCACAAGAACAGGACCGGTTTCATTACACATACAGGTGATACCCGGGAAGAGAAAAACCCAGGGCCAGCGTCTTTATTATGCGTAAAATGCAATATGTCAGGCAATGAGATCCTACCAGTAGAGTTGCCTACCCACCAAAGGCTTCTCTGCCTCTGTAGTGGAACTGAGACTCCTAAGGTCAGGGGTGGGGAACAACTGGCCCACGGGACATAGAAGGCTCGCAAAATCATTTGGTTTGCCACTGCCAAGGCATTAGGGATAAGTTAAATGTTTGACCAAATATATAGCAGGCTAATTTTTTATGGCCCGAAAATGTTATAGCCAAATGGGCCTTGGCAGGAAAAAGGTTCCCCACACCTGCCTTAAGGGAAGAGTCAGGTAGGTCACGGTGGTACTTTATGCCTTCTGAAACTACACCCATCACCATGATGGATGAACAGCCCTGGTCATCATGACAATCTTCAGTGCTCATTCTCTGAGATCCATGGTGGACCCTGGTATGGTACATCCTGTCCTCTTCTGAGTGTTGGGAGGAGCCTTGTTCAGAGAAGGACCCTCTGCCTACAAGCAGGAGACCTGGTACAAGGGGAGATCTGGGCCCGACCATCCTCACCCCAAGGGTCAGAGAGCCTTGGTTCTCCATACACTGAGCCACTCCCCTGTCCCCAAGTTCTTTTTTTTTTTTTTTTTTTAAATATATTTTATTGATTTTTTACAGAGAGGAGAGAGGGAGAGCTAGAAACGTCGATGAGAGAGAAACATCGACCAGCTGCCTCCTGCACATCCCCTACTGGGGATGTGCCCGCAACCAATGTACATGCCCTTGACCGGAATCGAACCCGGGACCTTTCAGTCCGCAGACCGACGCTCTACCACTGAGCCAAACCGGTTTTGGCCCCAAGTTCTTTTTTAACAGCACTATGGAATGAGGGGTACCTGCAAGCAGGTCTTCCTCTAACTCCTGCCCAGTGGCCCAGACATCAATCCCTGTTGACATCTAACCAAACATTTAGAGGCAATCCAGGTGTTAGCCATTCCCTGTTTTTATTTGAAAAATTTATAATTACTTTCAAGGAACAAAAAAGAGATGAAAATAATTGGGTTAACATGTCAAAAAAGATTTCACTTTATACAAAGTGAGGATCTGAGACTAATACAAAATATGCGGGCCAGCAGAACATTGGATAGTACATTAAACTGGGAGTGGGAGATAGGGAAGGAGAAAGAGGACCACTGTTAGCTCTTATTTATTCTAATTTTCATATCTGTGCTTCACCATGAAATTTTGTTGTTCCCTCCCTCCCCCGAATAGAATAGACTCAGGGAGCCAGTTATTTTGAAATGACAACTAAAGTAGAAATGTTTTCAGATCAGGTTTTCCTTCTGAGAAATAGTTCTTTTGTGAGAGAGGGGAAAAAAACAAACAGTAAAAAGTAGAATAACCACTATTTATAGAGGACAAATCTACTTAAACCACTTTTCTTTAGACCAAAGACAACATCTAGGTTCCAGAGCCACAAAAAGAAAGGGTAAATAAAATAAGAACATCACAAGTTAGAGTAATTCAACCCCTTCCTTTGACTTTTATCAGGAACGGGGAACTCTGCTCCTGCTGGGTCAGTGGGAGTGCCCCCAAGGGCGGAAAGCAGGAAGTGGTGAGGAGGCGCCTCAGAGACAGCTTTCTTTCTCCAATTCAAGCTGTAACCACGAGGTCCTGCATCCCACTTCCAGACCAAACTAGATGATTCTTAGGTAACTCTAAACAAACCTAAAGTGACAGAGCATCTTTGCAATAGTTTCATCCCTGTCAGAGCCAGTAACTAAAAGCCATTATATTGCAATTGAGTATTTTATTTTCCAATCAGCTCACTTATGGCTTTCTTCCCTTTTTACGCAATGACTGTCCTTCTCCAGAGAAAGCGACGAATCTGCCTCCAGCATCATCCTGTAGGAAGATAAGATACTATTTTCAGAAATTTCTTGGAGGTTTATAGAAATTGCTTTATTTTGCTGACTCATGTACCATCCACCCATTTTCCTTACTTCCCCATTATTGATAAGAAATGTTTTTGAAATATAAATACAAATCACAATCAACTGAATTGGACACATGCCACACAATCACAACCATGTGTCTACCACTGCCTTTATCCTCAGGGTGAGCATATATCCTTTTGCAGAAGCATCACATTTTCTTTTTTTCTTTTTAAAAAAATATATTTTATTGATTTTTTACAGAGAGGAAGGGAGAGGGATAGAGAGCTAAAAACATCGATGATGAGAGAAACATTGACCAGCTGCCTCCTGCACATCCCCCACCGGGGATGTGCCCGAAACCAATGTACATGCCCTTGACCGGAATCGAACCTGGGACCTTTCAGTCTGCAGGTCGATGCTCTATCTACTGAGCCAAACTGGGTAGGGACTATTTGCAAACTTAATTCCCAAGTCTCAAGACAATGGATTTCTTATCTAGTACATTCTAAAATCTACAGAGAATTTCATCAGGTAGGAGAGGCAGTCTGTACCCTTGGATATTACTCCTAGGTTTGCAGTATTTTTAAATTGCTGTGATGACCAGCTTAATGTGTTTGCAATCAGCTTGATATTTCCTATAAGTTGAATTCCTTAGTAAGCTAGTCTTCCACCAGCAGAAAGAGGGCTTGTTTTTCAGAACCCTCAAACACAGGTATCTTTCATGTATTCCTTGTTAGTCAGCCAGTGGTGTTATCTACAGAAGTGAGCTCCCAAACACACACTTCTACACCCAGCCCCACACCCCACACACAGCCTCCATAGGACCACCAGGCCACTGGAGGGAGGAGAGCCCCAGGAATGAAGAAAAATATGACAGCAATACCCTGATTCAAAATGGAAAGAATTCCCCCACTCATCATTAGAAAATAAAACTTCTCACCTCTTCAACCTTTTTGACCTGTGGACGTGAATTTCTGATGAAAGTGATCTTACCAAGTTTAAATTCATAATTGGGAATTCCTCTGTAAAGATGGAAGAGGAGAAATATTAGCTCCAGAAGAAAAGGACTCAAATTCCCTCTTGACTAACAAGAGGAAGGCAAGCCAAAGAGAGGAAGAGTGTCCTCTTGGCGATTCTCATTCTGAGGCAGGCAGCTGTAAACCACCTGGCCTTGGCCAGCCCTCTGGTGCTCCCAGCATCCCTACAGGAGGGAATCAGAAGGCAAATGGGGCAGGGCCTTCAGACGGGACCTAGCCTGCAGAGAGGGATCACCCAGAGACTAGGAGGCCCTCATCAAATCCGTCCTCCAGCCTCATGGATCAACCTTGGAGGGGTACACTTGTACCAAACTCGGAGAGTGGGTAAAAATCCATTATACCAGCGGTTGGCAAACGGCGGCTCGATAGCCACATGCGGCTCTTTGGCCCCTTGAGTGTGGCTCTTCCACAAAATATCATGTTTTTAGCAAAGGCCAGCTTAGGAGTACCTTATTAAGTTTATAACAATGTACCTATCTATATAGTTTAAGTTTAAAAAATTTGGCTCTCAAATTTCAACTGTTGTACTGTTGATATTTGGCTCTGTTGACTAATGAGTTTGCCGACCACTGGATTATACCATCATCCTTCTGCTCCAACATATAGTAGAAAGGTGACATATGACAGGAGACACCTCTCATCCCTGCCACCAACTGTGACAGCCACCAGAGCAGGGAATGTGCTCTGAGTCCCTGGGCCAAACAACAGAAACACATCTGTGAGGCAGCTCATGCCTCCTGTTTGAAGGAAGTTAGATACTATGACTTGATGAATAGAACAGAACAACAGATTGAATAGGAACTAGAAAAGTTTTAAGTAGGCGAGAGATCTGATGGCGGACCAGCTGGAGGCAGGACGGCCTGGTTCTGGACTGGAGGGAAGATACTGACACACTTCCACTGGAAAACAGCAACTCCTTGTCATGTTTCAGTTCCCCAAGGAGAGCAGGTGGGGGTAGGGGTGGGGAATTCATCCACTCTGCTGGATTCTTTGAGCTGGGCTTTCTTTCCAGAGCTGGAGTGAGGCTGCCCACCCCATAGGCCTAGCAAG